GGGAGGGACCGGCGCTGGTGACCCCACCGGGTCTGCCGGAGCCAGGGAGGCTGGTGGGGCCCCAGGGGCTCCCTGGTCCAGCCCCCCAGGCCAGGCCACCCAGGGCAAGCTGGCCCAGGGCCGGCTCTGGGTACCAGCAGGGACGGCACCCACCCGGCTTGAGCCCTGGGGCAGCAGGGGTGTGACATGGGCGGGTGGTGTCACAGCTGAGTTAGGAAGTATTTTTAGCAATGCCAAATACTCTCCCCGTCTGGAGGAGAGCATCTCGCATTGCCAGGGCAACCGGCGCTGCTGCTCCTCATCCCGAACCGAAAATGTGCGAGCCCTGACGCCGCCACCCGAGAGAGCCGGGACGGGTGACACTGGCATCCCAGAGCTTGTGCCACTCTTGTGGGGACACCTGCAGGGACCAAGCTCCCTCCCGGAGAGACCCTCCCGGTGGAGATGGGCTTTGCCCGGCGCTCGCTGGCCACCCACATTTCTGGTCATCCCGGTCCCCACCTATTGCGCTGCATCATTTTCCACTCAAAAAGTTCTGCGTTACTCAAGGTGGGGACCTGGCGGCGGTGGTGGCGAAAGGTTTTGGCGGTGGTGGCAAAAGGTTTTGGCGGTGGTGGCAAAAGGTTTTGGCAGCTGCTGGCAAAGGTCCCCATCGGCGTCTCCGAGAGTCGGCTCGTGCCCTGCTGCGGTTGCAGCAGGCTCGTGCCGGGAGTTGGGAAAGGCGGCCGGCGCGTCGGCGGCTCCAGGGGATGCTAATTACCACGCCGGTGTCCCACCCGGCCACGTGAAACCGTGTCACCGGCACCAGCCTGGCCGGGCTGGTCGGACCGGGGAGGCGAGGACATCCCTGAGCCGTGACTCAGGGTGGCCAGGGCCATTGCTGGAGGCACAGATGGGAAATTTCCCAAAGCCTGAGTTTTGGGAGAAAAGGGGGGTCCCTGGGAGCGGGGGGGTCGGAGGCACACGGGAACAGGGAAAGGAGAGAGACCCTGTCCCAGCAGCGGGCGATGGAGGGAGCAGCCTGGTCCTCGGGGCACCCGGCCAGTGGGATGGGGTGGGAGCGTGGCAGAGGGGCCACACGCCTTCCTCCTGCCGGCGGTTGCACGGCCACAAC